ATCATGTGGGAAGACAATATGTAGGCAAGCGGATATAAATGATGGCAACTCCTTACAAATGTAATTTATTTTCATCAGATATTGATGCCAGCAAAATGGAACTGTCCATGGGAAATGAACAGCCAAGATGATATCAAAATGGTTGAATTAATTAATCTAAGAATTCATTAAAAATTGCGAATAAACAGAACCTTAGAATCATTAAGGTTGGAAAAATCCTCTAAGATCATCAAGTCCAACTGTTAAAGCAGCACTTCCAAGGCCACCACTAGCCTGTGTCCCCAAGTATCCCATCTACAAGGCTTTAAAATCCCTCGGGGGATAATGATTCCACCACTGCCCTGAGCAGCCTGTGACAGGGATGGATAACCCTTTACATAAAGGAATTTTTCCCTAATGTCCAACCTAAACCTCTCCTGGCGCAGCTTGAGGCCATTTCCTCTCATTCTGTCCCTTGTTCCCTGGGAGAAAAGCCCAAGCCCCTGCTGGCTCCACCCTCCTGTCAGGAAATTGTAAAAAGTGAGAAGGTCTCCACTGACCCTCCTTTTCTCCGGGATGATTCCCCCTAGCTCACTAAACTGTTCCTCATCAGACTTGTGACTCAGACTCTTCCCCAGCTCTCCTTCTCTGGATATGAAATAGTTTTGAAGAATTTGCTCTTCTGTGCCATATTCTCCTCTGGATTTTTTTTCAATAAATTTCCATTCCCACTGTGCTTTTTGTAGCTGTTATCTAGGGAAAGTCGGCCTGAATACATCTGAAATATTTTAAGATCACAGCTCATACTATTTTTAGAAGCGAGCACTACTTAAGAATGAAAATTTATTAGATTTTATTCATTCAAAAACTGAAGACGAGTGCACAGTTCAGAACTCTAGTCTGTAGTTAGCAGCAGCAATAACAGAATGAATCAGTAAGTTCAGATGCTAAGCTGAAAAGATGTCAGAAACAATTTTGTTAGTTTTCAGCTCACCCAAGCACCACTGTAAAAAGGCCAGAAAAGTAGTTGTCTGGGCTTCCCTCTGTTGTCAGCAGCAAGACAGACATCTTCACAGGCAGATATATCTCATTTTATGATATGTTTCTATCATATGTGATAAATCCTGGTTTTCTGCATGGATTTTATAGGCAATCTGGCCAAACCATTTAATTTAATCACTTTCCAATGTGTATAATTAACACAAATGTATACTGTTCTTTGTCAATAAACAGCAGAGAATGCAGTAAAAAAGTTCAGAAGAAAAAATGAAACCTTTCATTCCTTGTGTAGGCCACTGGCCTGAACAGTGGAAAACAAGTACAGACTCTTCCACCTAAATGTCTTTAAGAGAGAAAATGAAACTGCTGGTGTTACAGTACAGTTACAAATTTCAAAGCAGTTTTAATCCCAAAAGCAAAGAAATTCACCCTGATGGCAAGGTAAGAAATTCAGAATACTGCAATTTCATGATTCATAATATGAGTAAGAGAGCATCTAGTAAACAGTGCTTCATAGTCATGCACTGAAAAATACAAAAATAAAATATAGTATCACATTCAAGTATTTTCAGTGTCTCAACCAGTTACCAGAAGGTACAGACTGACAATGTTTGATACATACTGAGCAGTTATTCACACAAAAGAAACCAAACTAAACCAAGTTAAAAAAAAACCTAAACAAAAACAAAATAACAAACATTAGCTGTCTCAGACTCAACAGATACTTCAAGGTTTGAGGAGCATGAAAATAGAGCAACTGTCAAAATGAGAAATCTAATAGTTGGTAGTCACAGTGTCTGATAACCAGTCAGCTCATCTTGAGCAAATTCCAGAGTAAAACCTCATTGAAGTGAGAATATTCTGTGGCCAACTGGCTCTGATAATGAAAATTTACTGAACCACTCTAATCCTGGTTTGAAAATTATCTTATGGTATAATAAAACTTTAGGAAAAAATCTAATGAAGCCTCTGTAATATACTTGCACTTAAACTAATACATTTTCCATGTCAAATCATAGAATTACAGAACAATTTGGGTTGGAAGGGACCTTAAAGATTGCCTGGTTCCACCCCCTTGCCATGGGCAGGGACACCTTCCACTATCTCAGTTGCTTCAAGCTCCATCCAACCTGGCTGTGGACACTTCCAGGGACTGGGCAATCACAGCTTCTCTGAGCAACCTGTGCCAGGGCCTCCCCACCTTCATAGTAAAGATTTTCTTCCTAACATCTAATCTAAACCTACCCTCTTGCAGTTTGAAGACATTCCCTTTGTCCTGTCACTACAGCTCTGGATGGAAAAGACAGATTTCATGTTGATTTTTTATTTCCTACTGAAGGAGAAGCCTGTAAAGGGAAATGCTTTCAAAAGAGTTTCTGCTGCTCCTCTCAGATTTTTGCTTGAAGTGAATAATACAACTCCTGTGTGAAAGGGTAAACAACTACATAGTTCTTTTCAGGACCAAAACTGTACTGGAAAAACTAACAACTTCAATGACAGGCTTCCCAGAGAGGCCAGTCAGTAAGAAGCATGAGCTGCCCTCCTAACCTCGGACTGAATGGACATCAGCATGTTACCCATAGACATGGACATCAATTGAGCCCACAGCTTATTCCTCTGAGGTCAAACAAAACCGTAGAGGAAAAACTATGGCTATGAGGTTTTCTACACAGGTAGAATTTCCCAAAGGGGTTCTAACATTCACATTAAAATTTTGAAAAAAGCTGCTAGGAAGTATGTTTTACAGCTTAGACCCACAGTCCATTATTCAAAGGAGCTTGTGTAGTTAGTTCCCCTCTGAATTGCTCAATGCAATAAATATATCGCAATGATCCTTAGGAAAAGTCTTATGGATATTTTTTTAAATAATACTTCAATAATGCCACAGGTCCTACTTACAAAATATTTTAATATAAAGCTGCAATTTTAGGATTAGTATGAAATGAGGTCAAATAGGATCAGGTTTTTAAAGTATTTTTTAAAGATGAATGAGTCCTAATTAGATATTTATCTATCATACACGTTTTAAATTTCATTAAGAACCTAGTGTCCATCCGGAGTAAAGTGACAAGGCTTACCTGAAGAGAAAGTATCAGTGGTACTTTCAAACAGCTGGCCCTACATGCTTCTGAAAAACTGATGGTATTAAAAGACATACAAACATTATTAATGTAACAATTTGTTTTAAGAAGGACTACAGACAAACCCATTTCTTAAGATGTTAAAAATCACAGGCATATGTAAAGACTATCACTTCATTGAAACCATCATAAAATAAGAATATTATCTAAAAATAATAAGCTGTTGGTTTTGTTTTTCAGCAGTGTTTCTCCAAAGATATAATTTTAATTGTAGATTAGTTTTGTTCTTGTGGTCCTGTTGATGGATTTTAGGCAAGCAACATACATCATTAACTGTACTGTGTAGGGGATCACATTTCAAACAGAGCTTTGTCTGGCCAAGGTACTAAAGCCTGTCTGATTGTTGCAGAATTGTCATTAAATGGAAATGATGCCTGGGAATATTGAACTTAATGTTATGTTTTTAAATAACATGAATAACATTACAGTTGTTTTAATGAAATCCATAGGAGAAAAATGTCATTAAACAAAGCCACAATACTGGCCCTGGTGCCCTGGTCAAATTCCAGTCTGGCTGATTGTATTCTGACATTTACTATTTTTCAGTTTGAATTTGGTATGTTTGTGAACAATCCTTACTGTTTGTTCATTGATACATTAATGCCTAACATCATCAGCTTTTTGCTGTTTGTCACCCCAGAGTTAGTTAGCTGTCACTCTTGTCCATCCAAATGTCTTTAATGAAGCCATAACTACAGTGCATGACCTTGAAAAGATCCCTTTAAATCTACCTTCCCACAGTTCATTGAGTTACTTAGATATTTCTTAACCTAACAAGTGAGCATGCATGTAACTTATTTCAGTGTTTGTCAAACACACAGCACAGCCTCATGTCCCACTTCTGACAAAATGAGATGACACAGTCTAATACGTGCTTGAAGCTGGGCACAGAGGTGTCCTGCCACACACTGGTGCTTTAGTTGGGTTCAGGAAGGTACTCTGAGCAGTACCTATTCATCACATCCACTTAACCACGATTTGCTTTCAATTGTAATCTCTGAGAACATGACCTAAAACAGATGAACTTTAAGTCCAGGAGAACAACTTATTCACCTCAGCACCAGCTAATTATTGAGACAACAGACCTCGAGTAGAGAAAGTCCAAAGTTAAAAATAAATTCCCAAGGTGTGGACTTCAGAATAAACTGGTTTTTTCTACAGTTCTGCTCGTGTTGGTTCATATCACTAGCTTATGGATACATAGTCATATTCAAGTGCTTTATTCAAATGAGCAGATCTGCTTTGCATTATCTTACTGGTCTTTCACTTAAGAGTCAAAGTCTGAATTGAAGTATATTTGAGAAAGCCCTTCTAACATTGCTGAACTCTGTCGGTCTTAGAGGGCTTATGGGGGAAAATATTTTGAAGACCTAATTCCTGGCTCATTGAAAGGTTTAAAAAATGTAGGACAACAATTTTGAATTTCCTTGTTTAAACATTCAATCAGGAACTTCAGTGGTGATCTCATAAAGCAGCTTTTATTGTGCCTGTCACATCTCACAGTCATAATTTCTAATATCATTCCCAACTTCCCCCCTCCATACCCTTTAATCTTGAATGGTCAAATCCAATCCAGACATTCATGCACACAAATTTTATTGTTCATGAGATCAGACATGATCATCAAGGAGCATGTATAAGCATTTAAATCAGGCATATATACTTTTATATGCACTGACAATGATTAATATACAAAAGTTCAACAAAAAGTAAGGTCAGAAAGAAGTGCTGCCAAATATCAATGAAAGAGTATCTTTATATCACTCAGTGAATAAAGTATTCCAGAAAATCTCATCTATGAGTAGCTGTAGATAACCAGCCGTATCCTATTCCTGGTGGGGTCAGGTGCAGTGTCGTTTTCTCTCAACAGAACAACTGAATCTACATCCCTCCCAGTCTAGTGTATAAGCACAAGGCATTGCTGTTTGAAGCCTCAAGCTGAGCATTAAGCTGCAGCTGGATTGTCGCCATTAGGGTTTTGTCGTAGCCTAATTTAGGGAGGAAGTCAATGATCTGGAAAACAGATGTGAAGTTTTAAATGTACATAATCAGATCTTTAGGACTAATTTCAGGTTTGACGCTGCCTTGGATTTTCTGCCTTCAGGTAGAAGAAAGAAGACAAAGAAATGGGGAGAAGAGTGACAGGATAAGCGGAAAAAAGTAGACAGAATTGTGTGAACACAGACAGATATTAATGAACCTAAACCCACCATTTTATTTAACTGTTACTTATGTCTGCATAGGATTCAGGCATTTGAAAACAATCACAGTGTATATTAGGAGTGTCTTAAGATTTCCACATAGTGAAATATCTTTTTTTTTTTCTTCCTTTTCAAAGTTTCTGCTTAGGATTAAGGATATTTTCCTTTCAATACCAGGTCACAACCAAGCCATTCTAACATGGTCTCTCTCTAACTCACTCCCTTGCACATACACGCATCAATACAAACAGCAAGGCGAGAAGTAGAGAGGGAGAAAAAGGAAAAGGGTGAGCAAAGATTATTAAAGGCATTGAGAGACCCACAGTCATTGCCCTTGTAGTCAAAAAAATATGATGTTCTACGGGTATAGTAGCTGAAATCTTGTATACAAATCAAAGTGACTTCAAGTCCCAGTCTTACCTGAACATTTTAATAACATAGTCACTGCATCTTCAGGCAAAGATAATCTCATATATATTTCTTTATTTTAACTAATTGTGTGGGGTTTTTTTTCAGTTTGAGGTTGATAAGCCTTAATTAATCTAGTATGCTTAGGAAAAAAGAAAATCTTTAATGGCTGGTAACTTCCAAAGAAAATAGGGGATTTTTACCCTAAAGGTCCTGGCTGAAGCTTTTTCTGTGTTGAATACATATATATAACTTCCAACAAAAATTGAAAAACTTTTTCAAGTAAAAACAAAGAAGGTTTGCTTGTGATTTACCAAGGCTACTTTAAGTTCCACAACACATGGATGAAAAGCACAACAAAGACCTTAATTTATTATGAGTCCTAGTTTGCTGGTCTTTGATTAAACCTCACCTTGTATTAATAATTCTCAGTGATACTGTACAACATATGCTACAGAAACCCCTGAGGCAGGCAAGAAAAACCAAACCAAACACAGTGGAGAAGTCACTTACCTGTCTGAACTCTTCAAGATCTATTTTGTTTCCCACCAGCACCACAGGGATGTCATAGGTGTGCCGGACACGATAAATGAGCTCCTTAAACTCAGCAGCTTCTTGGAAGGATTGGCGGTCTGTGATGGAGTAGCAGATAATGAAACCTTCTCCACCTCGCATGTATTGGTCCCTCATGGCTGTGAATTCTGCCTGCAGAATAGGCAGAAAACATATACTAATTTGGCAAACAAAATTATCCATCTGTAAATAACAAACTTGCTGAAAACTTCCACGATTCCCCATGTAATTTCACACTGCTCGTTTTTTACTCTTTTGAATGCTGCTTACTGAAACTTGTGCATCCTTCTTGGTTCATCCACCCCAATAAAAAGGATTTCTCTGAGGACTTTTTTTTTTCCCTTTTCCTATCAAGGGAACTCTACCCTCTAAGAATATGAACTTACTATGCCAGTGCCTATATACAGAAAATACTGCCTCATGTATTACCAGAACCTTCTGCAGTACTGCCAGTACAAAGAGATGATGTGCATTTGAATGAGTATTAACAGGTGTAATAGAAAAGCTGTATTACTATCTAGGGATGAGAGACAGGTACAAATTCCTTATTATGCCCTCAATTCAAAAGCTCAGTATTATCAAAAAATATTCATTGTCTCTCACCGGCTTTGGAATAGTGCCTAGCAAAACAAGGGTACAATCTGCAAAAAGTTCTGCTCTTTTGAAGGCTCTTAGAAGAGCTAGGGGTTTCAGTTCAGTGTGGGATAATGCCATTAAATGACAATGAACAATTTTGAATAGTGAGAGAATTGGTCTAATTTTCTACTCCTGCATTTTTCTCTTTTTATGTGTGTATTTATTGTCACAGCAACACTTCTGGTTACTGGTATGCTTTTTTCAGAAGTACTTAACAACTGCCACATTGTACAAAAATTGAGATTTAGTTTTCAAAAACTAGTCTCAGGAACTGTGGCTTGAGAATATGTTTTAAAGCCAGTTTCTTTCTCAAGTTTGTTTGCTTTTCTTGATCACAGCTCAGAATAACCCAATACCATGGCAACAGTCGGTCAGGATCAGAATCCTCCTGACAGAATCAGTTCTCCAGAGATATTAAGATGCAGGGAGGTCTGATAAAAAAAGAGTACACATATCAACATTGAACCATTTCTATGAGAAGCAGGATGCAATATCAAATCCTGTATTTTTTAGTCTATTGAGAATTTATGCTAGGATTTTTTAAACAGTTTAGGTTACATATATATATCCTCAGTTGTTGCTGAAAATTAAAGGGAAATGGATTGCTTATGTTCCTTTAAAAGTCTCAGCCTTAAATCTCTCTCAATAGTCATTCATGTTGATTGACAATGCTTCCTGTGAATAGACTTTCATGTTGACCATTATCATTTATTTATGGTGTGTCTTTTACCCAAAGGCTTTATATATCATTCAAAATATTTCACCTGCTACAGGAAAAAGTTCATCGAACTAAGCTTTAAAATGGCAGACTAATAGGCAATTTAAGGGTAGGATTCTGCTTTGGGACTTACTCAGAATTTCAAAATCTCTACATTATCATCCCTGGCATCCCAGGAGAGTTTATTAACCACCAAGCTACAGCACAGAGTGGATCAAGTCATACTCTAGCCTACCCTTTTGAAACTGGATCTGCAAACAGTAGGGCAGTGGTGGGGAGAAACACTGCAGAGATCAAATAAAAAGTATTCCTACACTCTATGGTTTGGACGAGACACTGAACGGAGATGTGTCTCTGTTCCCAGGTCTTTCCTTGCCATCTACATTAGACAGCCACTAGAATAATAGACAATGCAATACCAAAGAGTTTCCAAGTTAAGAGCAGGGAGTGTTAATGACAAAACACAGTCATTGACTCCATTCCTTGCTCTCAAATTCCAGGCTTTTATGCCAGAACAAAGTCTCGTTGCAGCCCCCGTCCCTCGTGCCCCTGGTTTTCTCCTCTTTGCGTCAGTCACCCAGAACTGTTCTGCACCAGGAACTGAACTAGACTAGGATCTCTTCAAGCTTAGCAGACAATGGTAACCTTCTGTGAAGTTAACCTTGTGGATTAGGCTCCCGAATTTAGTTGTCTGTGTAGCTGCAGTCAGCTACCTGAGCCCTTGTTATAACAAATGGTGAGCTATTCAATGCAATTAGTGGACTACAGATTGCTTCTGCTGATGAAAAAATAGTTATCTCTTTAGTTGCCTAATTAATTATTTTTTTGTATCTATTATTTATTTTTAGAGCATTGGTAAAACAGAACAGAGACTCTAGTTAAAAGTACATGTTTTCATATGGAACATAAAGCCCAGCCCAGATGACCTGAATTCCTGAATAAGAAATTTCATAAGTCAACCATTGTAGCACTGTATAACTGCTCTGCACAGACTTTTACAGAGAATGAGCTCTGTTTAAGTGAGGTGATCCACCTTTAGGAAGTGCTCAGATCTTTGTACACTCCATTATAGCAGTTTATGGCAAACTGAGAAGGAATTAGGTCACAGGTCCCTGTTTAAGTTACTCACAGTAAGTGACGTTCTGCAGCACGAGCAGTCCCAGGATCACTCCTCAGGGATGCTTAATGGCTTTCCTTGACTGACAGGGGACCCTGGGTTCCTAATTTTACACGTTGAATCATTCCAAAGAGACAAAGTCCTCAGCTTTTAGAGACTGCCACTCTTGAGTCAGAATCATTTACCTACACGTTCTGGTTCATGTCGGGCATAGTTAAGGCTTCAAGGATATGAATGAATTACCTATGCAATTTTTTATTATAGCATATTATTGCTGTTGATATATTAGACTAAACAGACAAAATGCTTTAGTGCCATGTTTGCAGTGATCTATTTTCAGAGGCATTAAGTATTCTGTGCAAACTGGACTGGGGACATCCACTTGGCTTTCCGTTGTTAACTCACCTAGTCATTTCCATTCCAATTTTTTGATGTTGACTTTTACTTCTCAGTTTTTTCCCCTTGGCATGATTGCTCAGTACAGAGTCAAGGACTCCAAGGTCAAACCTAAACAAGCCTTTTATTTGATTTCAAAAGAAGTGGATTTTTTCTTTGTTCATGAGGAACCTCAACATAATAATACATAGCAAGAGAAAGACTTAATATAATATCAACAAACATAATATAACCCTTGCAACACTGTATGCATATTATATACAAGACAAAGGACTAACATGCAACTAAATATTTTTGTTCATTTTTTATTTCAAGTCCTACTCTATATTTCACATTTTTTCCTGTTTCTTTACAGCAAGAAAAAAACAAAACTTAAGTTCACCTGGATTTTGTGAATGTCCAGGGGTAGATAGAGAGAGATCCAAAGGTTTTGCAGATTTTTCAGTGGTTTTATTTTTATATTTTGCCTGGTTCTTTTATAAAATAAACAACAGTGTATCTGTGCAGCTGACACATTAATATCTTCTTTAATTGTTTCCTGATGTACAAGGGACCTTTTAAAAATTATTCAGAAATAATACTGGATATCAATTTCTACTCAATAAGGGAAAAATATGAAACATTCCCAAGTCAGTAAATACCAAAGGGAAGAGAGAGAAGGAAATCACACCCCCTCAAAAGGAAATCAATTCTGAGAATTAAAGTGAAGATTTGTCATGCTTACAGCACTTTGCAGCTTGACATCAGTCTCTAATACTCTCTTGTGTATAATGACTAAGACAACTGAAAAGTGTGGTAAAAACTCTTCTGAAACAAAATCATCATTCTTCTTAGGAGATATGATACTTGAGAACAAGCGTCAAGCCTGGATAGGAACAAAATAAAACTTTTCTAAAAGTTGAAAGAAGTCAACATAACTTTTTACTTTCCTTTTTCCATTGTAATTGGATGCAGCAAAAAACTGTTGCTAATCCTCATAGGACTGTATATGTCTACCTGTTGTTGAAGACTGTTGTCAAGTAAATCTCTCAATGGATAGGTTGCTCCTGAATAGATGTCACATTTGCCTTTCATCAGTTATCAGGCGTCTCCCATGATTTTTCAAAGGTATCAGAGTAGCCTCACAATAACACAGAGCAGCTCCCTCAACATGCTTGGATGTGTCTCATTGTGTTGTGCTGAACTGCACACACACACAGCTTGACTCACTTCACCCTTGTTTATCCCCCTCTACTCAGGGTGCTGTATGTCATTTAAACCTTCCTTGGAGGCACAAAGACCTGGGAGGCGTAAGAGCAGAGCTTGCCTCTCTGTCTGGGCCAGAGAGAGTCTGAAGTGTGTTAGTACTTCTCATGTTCCTCATTCCAGCAGCAGCCCCACATTTTTCCTGGTCTTCATGGAGTTGCCAGTGTACCTATAAGAAACCTATCTCATTGCCTTTTAACTTCTCAAAATGTTCAACTCCAGAAACAATTTGGCTTTCATAATCCGATTCATTCACAGCCAAGAAATACTTCCATACCTATCCTTGGGAAACTGTCCCTGTTTCCACATTTCATTTTTCTGAGTATGCTTTCTTTTTCTAGTAGCTTTTAATATAATAACTTAGAAAGGGAAAACGTCTAACGTCTCTTTTCTCTTCATCATCTTATCCTCTTTTATCCCACCTTTCATAATGAGCAAGAGAAATCTTTTCTCAAAGAGCAATATTGTTAATAAATTTTTAAATTCATACTGCTGTCATGGAAATATAAATAGAACTTGTATGTTGTTTGTTTTTTTTTTTTTCATTAGAGACTTCTTTCCAAATAAGATCAGTATCTTAATGCCTCCAGAAGAGGAAACAAAGACATAGAGCAGCAAAGTCAGACTACACTTAGATACGTAGATCTTTATGAAGACCTAGGTATGGTTTATGGGTTGCTATCAAACATAACAGCCTGGATTTCGTGTTCACCTCAGGACAATTCCACCTTGCTGACTGAAAGACTCTAGGAAAGTGTTTCACAAAGTTCCCCAAAGCCAAGCATTGTTTCTTTACTGTTTCCTAAATATTTCCTCCTGGACAGTGCTGGAGAAAGATTGCTGGACTGGAAAAGGTTTTATTCAACTAGGAATACAAGTTGTTTGGAAGCAATGTCATCCACATCACCATTTTACACCAGTAGAACTGTAAAGTGAAGCCAGTTCTCTCAGACCCCCATGTTATGCATTGCTAATAGAGAACCTTGTCAGCATCTAAAGGATAAAAGAGGGAGAAGAGAA